AACTACATGTATTATCTATAATGATAATGTAGTTCTTATTGTAGTATGTATGGACTGTTATCTGAGGAGGAGAGGGAGGACTCATTTTGGGAGACCATTGAAGATGTGGCCAATAAACTGTTCCTTATACCTTGTCTACCTGAAGGACTCCTCTCATTAGTAAGGGAGAGAGAGGGGGAATAAAGAAGGAATGAGAGAGGAAGAGGGAAATAGAAGAAATTATGTATTCATTGTTCTACTAGGAAGTAACTCTACCTGGTTTTTCATCACCAACAATTATTATGCCACCCGGAGGAGGTTATGATGTACATGTACATTCATTTTCAGTTTTCCCTCCCTCCCTCCCTCTCTGTCTGTCTCTCTTTCTCTCTCTCTTTCTCCCTCCCTCCCTCTCTCTCTCTCTCTCTCTCACTCTCCTCCTTCAGATCTTCATCTTGTTGTCAGATTAAACTATCCATTCTTATGTCTTTCTGTTGATAATATTCTCAAGGTTATTGCTGCTTTATTAAGTGAACAGACCATTGTGTTCACTTCCTCCAATTACTCAATGCCAGCATTAGTCATACAAGTAAGAGAAGAGAATATACTATTGTACATGTACATTGTACATGCATGTGTACATGTACATATTGATGCATATAAATTATGTAAAAAATTACTTGAATTATTACTTCATTTTCATTTTAATTCTCTTTTCTTCTAGTGTTTGTTGAGTTACATATCTCCCTTTGAGTGGTGTCACAGTATAGTACCGACAGTTCCTGATAACTTCATTGATATACTCGGAGCTCCTAGCATTAACATACTGGGCTGCCACTCCAACTGGCAAGAGTCACCTGAGTTCACTAATGTAAGGAGTAGTGAGTTTTTATCACTTGAAATAGCTAAATTTGGATATTTAAGCATGTAGACTATAGTCCATGTTTTTTCCAAAAATGACTACAAAATCACTTCAAATCTATATTACATTTATTGATACATATTGATGTCCTTTTGCTATATTGAAAGTTTGAGCTGTTAATCTTTTCAAATTATGAGCATTTTTGAAAACAGTCAAATTGTGAAGAAAATTATGGACTATTGCCATGATTTTTCTGAAAAATGTCCCCCCAAATTACCCCCAATTTTATTACAATGTCTGATGCCCTCCCTCCAATAGATTGATGATGCTGTTATTGTCAAATTTGATGATGATGTTGTTGAATCAAAACTTTCTTCAGTGTCCTCGTTCCCAGAGCTACCTGAGGCTGACAGGATTAGAGTCAAAACACAGTTAGCCACAAATGCACCATTCAAACACACACACAAACTGTATTAATGTATGTACATGTACATGTACATCCAAGTACTAGCACATCAATTTATGTGGACATTGTACTACAAGCAATCTAATTTTTTATTTACAAAACTTTTATTGGGTATTCTATTCTGTGCATGTTCTGCAGTATTCAATTTCATTATTCTTAGGTATCAAGAAATATTAGCATCATGAGATTGACAGCCTTGATAGGTAAAATAATAATAATAATAACAATAATAATAGTAATAGTAATAATAATAATAATAATAATAATAATAATAATAATAATAATAATGGCGGGGGATCAGTATGGAGGATGGAAATGGTATCAACTCCTCTTTTTTAAATTAACTACTTAATTAGAACTATATTTTCATTTGATTTTATTTTATTATTAGTTTCTTTTTTTGTCTCTCTTTGCTTGTCCAATGTTTTCTTCGTTTTGTTTTGTTCACTTCCCTGCTGTTGTTGCTTTTGTTTAATAATAATAATAATAATGATAATAATAATAATAATAATAATTGTGTATTATTGTTCAATATTAGGTTGGTATTGCCATCTGCTATAGAGAGGGAAAGGAGGAAGAGTAATTTTGAACATTATAAGGACACCACACTCTCAGCCTGTGAGTACATGTACATGTATGCATGTCAGGCCTGGGGTAATAGTAATATGTAATAGTAATTGTAATAGTAATGATTACAGGGCACCAAGTAATAGTAATAGTAATAGTAATAGAATCTTTGGCAACAGCAAGTAATAGTAATAGTAATAGTAATAATGGTCAAAGTAATATGTAATCTCAATATTACATAGCTATTACTTGCAGTGTTACACTAATAAGTAACAATAGGAAAATAGCACGTTAGCCAGGAACTATTGCTCAGTACTGAAACTTTTTATCATAAATATAACAAAGCATTCTTAATTAGAAACTATAAAATGGCTTAGATTAACTTCAAAATTAGATTATTTTTATCAGTAACCTATAAAAATCTATGGCGTATTGTAATAGTAATTGTAATAGTAATATACTTTGTTGTAATAGTAATAGTAATAGATTACTTTGAAAAAAGGCTGTAATAGTAATAGTAATATTATAGTTAAAATTTTCAAGTAATAGTAATAGTAATAGATTACATTTAATTGTAATTGACCCCAGACCTGATGCATGTATACATTATTGGTTTTTAATTTACATGTAGTGTTTCTGGAGCTAATGGTCAGAGTATTTTAGTAAGTTACGTATTAGTTAAAGCACTGTTGAGAGTAGGTTACGGAAATTATTGCACGAGGGGCGGTCGAAAGGAAAATGTAGCACGAGGCGAAGCCGAATGCTACATTTTCGTCGAGACCGTCCCGAATGCAATAATTTCTGTAATCTACAAATCATCAGTGCTTTGATTGGTTTGTAGTTGTGCGTGGGCGGATTAAATGAAATTTTAAAAGTCGTGCAGGTGGCCAGTGCAAGATGATCAGATCTCATTTATCACTATTATTATTGTTACATGTCTAGTGTATGTAGCTGTGGCTATGATTTGCCTCTATCAAAGCTTGTGGTTAACAGGAAAGCCCATATATATTATACTGCACAGTACTATACTATATCCCAGTTCAGTTTGGGACGGAAGTAGAAGCAGCTGCGTGGAATTTGAAAAATGTAGCTACGTCACAAAAATGATGTATTTTAATGATATTCATAGAAGCATGGCGGCTGTGTTGTTTCACTCTTAAAACAGTTTTGCTCTTCCTGATAAGCAGTACAACAGCTACTGGAGTCAACTAGTCTTTATAATGGCCATCATTATCAAAAGATCTTGCTCTGTTAGCTTTTTAAAACAAGAATTATCAGTTTGCGCTCTCGACCACATGTAAACTATGATGTAGATAAATCGTCATAAAACGTCATTTTGGTATGCCATTGGGTTTATAGGGAGAACCCGGTTCTCAGGGTTCCCAAGAGCTGAGAGACCCAAGATTTCAAAGATTTTGATGGACTTTGGCGACTAAGAACCTGTGAAAGTTTCATCCTTATCCCACATTCCTATAAAAAGTTATTCCAGTTTTTCTTGTCCCAAACTCAACTGGGATATGGTATATATATTCCACACAGTGCTACATTTTCCTACCGTGCTACATTTTCCTACTGTGCGGTTATTGGAAGTTATAGCACTGGCAGTGCCTTTGATCTGCCCACGCACCATACTACAAGTAGGATGATAAAGATAATTGAAGAACCACTCCAGGCTTACTGAGGGTAATAGTCATATTTACTGGGTCATTCTTTCTCCTCTTTCTTCTTCCTGTCTTTTGTTGTTTCTCTCTCTTCCCCTTTTATTCAATGAAGTCTGGTTTATATGATGTCCTCCCTACTACTATTGGAAGGTTTGGCTCCTGAGGATTTGAGACTTTTGCTCTGTGGGTGTCAGCAGGTTGAACTTGACGTACTCAAAAAGATAACTTTCACCGACGAGAGTTGTAAGTGAAAATAATACAAATGATCTAATTAGTTATTTTTACTAAGTAATGTTTGGTATTTTAATGAATGAATGTATACACATGTACATGTATAGTACATGTACATGTACAAATGTACAGTGTACATGTTGGCAAATTGTGTTTGTTTTCTAAACATGCACTTGTGACCTTAAATGTAATTTACATTTAGTTATTGTTTTGTGAAGGAAACCTACAATGTATAGCTTTTTGGAATTTGATAATTTTAGTGTAGATAAAGAATGTCCTTATGTACATGTACAATGTACAATGTAAAATGTACATGGTTTCTTGGCCCAAATTTCACCAAAATGACTCAGAAAAAATTCCATTTTCATAATGTTTCTTAATGTACATGTACTAGTGTTGTCTAGGATTTGAGTTCATTTGATCAAAATTGTACTTCTAAAACTGCTTCATTCCCTTTTGATGTACATTTAAACTTCATGCAATAGTGTAATGACAGTAATAGCATTAAAGGGTAACTAAGATTAATTTTTTTGATGTTTCAATAATCAAGGCACAGTATCTATACAACAAATGAACAACAGCTATGCACTTTACATTTCATCTTATTTGCTGGTAGCCATCTTCTTCCTGTTTCAGCATCTCTTTCATGTAGAATGGATGTGTTATAATAGCTGCAATAATACAAAACAAGGACAATTTTATACTGCTTTCTTTTTCAAATGATATGGTGATATGATTGCTGTAAAAATGAAGCATGTTCTTGGGCCTGACCATTCATCTCTAGTTCTTTTTTTAGCTGATAAACCCACATATTCTTTAAGACAGTATCATCTGGGAGTGGAAGCAGTATAAAATTGTCCTTGTTTTGTATTATTGCAGCTATTATAACACATCTATTCTGCATCAAAGAGATGCAAGGAACAGCCAGCAATTCATTTGATGACATCACAAATTGCACTCCCCCGCATTGTTGCTGAAACAGGAAGAAGCAAAAAAGATGAAATGTAAAGTGCATTATCTCGCAAATGAAAGACTTTTTAATGGAAATAAGTGCATAACTGTTGTTCACTTGTTGTATAGATACTGTGACTTGATTATTGAAAAATAAAAAAAATCAATCTTAGTTACCCTTTAAAGTGTAACTGCCCCCATTTTTTGAGGTATTTATTTTATTGGCTTAATGTGATGACTTGACCATAGTAATAATGTATACCAACTCCCATTGTCCAAAAAAAATTCTTCACTGAGATTGAGCTTTCAAAAATGCCCTTTGTGCTTCCTGCCATATTACTTCCTGTCCGTGGGTGTGGCTAAACGTGACGTCATAGAAGGCAGAGATGTACATGTATACTATAAAAAATATCCCAGTTGAGTTTAAGACAAGAAAAACTGGAATAACTTTTTATAGGAAAGTGAGGATAAAACTTTCACAGGTTCTTAGTCGCCAAAGTCCATCAAAATCTGTGAAAGCTTGGGTCTCTCAACCCTTGGGAACCCTGAGAACCGGGTTCTCCCTATAAACCCAATGGCCTAACAAAGTTAACCGCAATGACGTTTCATGATGTCATAGTTTACATAAGCACATGTAGTCGAGCACCTAAACTGATAATTCTTCTTTTAAAAAACTAATAGAGCTAGATCTTTTGATAACGATGGCCTTTATGAAAACTAGTTGACTCCAGCAGCTACTGTACTGCTTATCAGCAGCAGCAAGACTGTTTTAAGAGTGAAACAACACAGCCGCCATTCCTCTATGAATATCATTATTTACGTCATTTTGTGACGTAGCTACATTTTTCAAATTCCATGCAGCTGCTTCCACTTCCGTCCCAAACTGAACTGTGATATAGTATAGCTAAATCCATTGCTGCATAGGGGGAAATGATCCTTTATTATCATGCCTAGTAATGTAATAGCACTAATTTAAAGATTGGGATCATTAGCTATCGGTATTCTAAGCATGCAATTGCAAGAAATGACTCAAAATACCACACTTTGGTGAATCTTCTTGTTTGCCATTCTGAGTCTTTTTCTTGCAGTTGCATGCTTAGAATAATGATAGCTAATGATCCCAATCTTTAAATTAGTGCTATTACATTGATAATAAAGGATCATTTCCCCCTATGCAGCAATGGATTTAGCTACATCTCTGCCTTCTATGACGTCACGTTTAGCCACACCCGCGGACAGGAAGTAATATGGCAGGAAGCAAAAAGGGCATTTTTGAAAGCTCATATCTCAGTGAATAATTTTTTTGGACAATGGGAGTTGGTATACATTATTATTATGGTCAAGTCATCACATTAAGCCAATAAAATAAATACAGTCGAACCTGCTATATTGTGGACAGTCTAAATTAAGGACACCTCTATAATAAGGACAGGTAGTATCAGTCCCAATACAATATAAATGTGTATTAATGAACCTCTGAAATAAGGACACCTCTATAATTAGGACAGTTTTATTGGGTCCCAAGGTGTCCGGAATTGACAGGTTTGACTGTACCTCAAAAAATGGGGGCAGTTACACTTTAATATCAAAGATTCCACACAATAGTAACTGTCCTGCAATTGACCCAATTGAACTGTTGCAATCAATTGCAGTTCAATTTAATTGAGCTGCAATTGATCTGTCCTACCTAATCAATGAAGCACCATGGTGCGTGGACTCGCCTGCTGAGATTCACCTGAGGGATATGTATTACTTGTACTGTGATATTTTAAACAATTTGAAAAAAAAACTATCATTGACTGCATAGTTATAATGATAATAAAAATAAGCTATGGGTGTGGTCAACAACTAACTAAATCATGGCACATGGGTAGGAGAAAGAAGAAAAGCTGAAATTTATTTTAGCATCTGAAGCTCTATTCCAAGAAAGAGTTGGTACAGAAAATTTTTCTAGATATTTAAAAGAGACTGAGAGAGTTTGGTTGCTCCTGCTTTCCCCAATGCCGCCTGAAAAATTCTCAAAGAGGCTAAATCACAAACTTTGAGCAACTGTAACTCACAAACAACAAAGTTAGGACAAAATCGTTCTTTTTGTTTTTCGTTATATGGGATTTTCTACCTCTGAAGCAAATCTCGGCCCTGTAGAGTGAAACACGAGCTCTCACCTGGAGAGAGGTCCCCTGGTTTAGCAGTTCACAGCTTTTGGTGCCACGGAATGCTACAAGAGCATAACTAGATGAAAGAAAACAACTTTATCTGTTGCTAGAAGAAGAAATAGAGCTCCAGACTGCTCAGACAAAAAGATAATTTTTTTTACAAATCAATTAAAGTGTGTGGACAGAATGACAGAATGACAACCCAACTGCTTAGTACCCGCCTACGCAAGCGTGGCGAGTCCAATGAAACCACTAAAGTTTAGCTCTTCAAACATAAAGTACATACATACATGTACAGTATTGTACTATTAATACATACACATTTGTTATAGTTATTTTTTCATTATTACTTAAAATAACATTATTTATTGTACATGTACATTTACATGTAGGTCACAGCCTCGTGGTAGAAGGAGTTGATCAGGTTCAAGAGAAGTGATGATCCCTCCTCCCCTCTACTAGGAGATCAACCAGTACATGTGAAGGTCTCTCTCTCTCTCCCTCTCCATTCCCTCCAGTTAGGTGTAACACTCAACCAAATCATCATATTTTGTATTGGAATTTTTATAATGAAACGAAACTAGAAATCCAAAACATCACAAATAATGATAATAATATGTATCAATGTAATCAAACATGCTAAGTACAATTATTTATAGTTGTTTCTGGCTCTGTCTGAAGATAGAAAAACTTTCACATCAGCTTCTGCTTTTCCAAGTTCATCCGGATAATCTCCACAAACCTCCAGTATATTCCTCCAGGTCACGTCATTACCAGAGTCTATCCATCTCTCAAACACTAGTATGAGGTTATCTGAGGTAAACTGAGGAAGAGGTACCAGGTCATTCACTTTAACATCAAGTGCAGTACCAATAATTTTACTATGAACACCAGAATCCTTGAACAACCTAAGGAGGTCACTCTTTAGAGGCTTCTTGTCTAACAGGTCTGTGAAAATTATATACATGTAAACTAATAAAAAAGTAATACTTCCTTACTATCCAATGTATCAGGTTTTATTTGTACTTTATTGCTCCTCTCAACTGGTACTGCACATTGAGAAGTAATACACAATAAGTAATACACTACACAATCAATGTTTACTTACTTTTACTTCTACTTCTGTCAGATGACAATTCATTAACAGATGCTCCACAAGGAACTGAAACTGTAGCTGGTGGTTCTAATTAATGAGAGGTGTATTAAATATCAGTTTTTATCATCACTTACTAAACCAACAGGACTGACGTGGTCCTATTTCCCTTGGTAAGCACTCATCATTAGTGCAGGTGATGTGAGATACAGCTTCATTAGGATGACACACACCAGCTCCACAAGACAGGCAAAGAGTTCCCTCCACTGTATTGCTACTGTAGTAGAACTTGCTGGA